ATCAGTCATGAGGACATCATGTGACAGGTCAGGAGGCAGGACATGAGTCAGCAGACTCTGACCAAGCAGGGACAAATAGGTACCTGGTCTGTGCACCATTGCATTTGTATAAATAGTAGGGAGTCTGAGGCAGGGAACCTCAGACTTGATCTTCTCGTCGATCACCCATCTCTTCTGTAGGTAGCTAGCAGCCCTACCTCTCACTGCCCCTTCTAGTCTAGGGAATCTACATCTTTGCATCATCTCTTGCTGTGTCACTTGTGGTTGCTTCGCTCTCAGCACCAACCCCTTCACCAGTAAGCTTTGTCTTTGTTTGTCTGGTGGCACAGCTCGTTGGCTGTGACAGCTCCTCCCTTCGTACCTTCGCCATCTCGGTGCCCGTCCTTGTCGACCCAGAATCTGTTGTCGCAGCGGAGGCTGCTGAGGCGATTCCGGGGCCGACAGTGGCAACCACACGAGTCCTACGGCCGCGGCCGCCCAGACCTCTGGTACAGGAGCGTCGGGCTCGGTGCAAGCGAGACCCGAGCGCACCCGAATCCAAGGCACATGCTACTGCATTAGTGCCAAATTTTTCTGTGGATGACCAGGCTCAGGAAAACTTACCTGGGCCTAAGGGGCACAAGGGCACATCCGGTGCGACACGCCCTGCAGTCCCGGACCACGTGCCATCAGCTGTGGCGTTTGATAGCAGTCGCCGGCCTCCCGCTCGGGTGAGCGTCTTGCCTGCCGAATCCGGACGACCGGAAACGGCCAAGAAGTTTTCAAAACGGATAAAACGTGTTGTCCTCCGTGTTCCGGATGGAGGACAACAGGAGGGCGAGGGTCTGGCGGACTTTACGCATGTGGATAATTCAATTGATCGGGTAATTTTACCCAACGAGTATAAACCCGCTTTGCCACCCTGCAAGCAGGAATCACAGTTTCTAAGCTATCTATCTGAGAATACTGAGGGCATTGACTAACTGAGGGAACTGAAAGGCCGCTATGGGGAAGATAAATTTTACGGACTGATCCTCGAAGGTCCGAAACAGTACAAGAATTTCCTGGTGAAGGATGGGTTAGTATTCATCCGAGATAATCAAAAGACGCTCTTGTGCATACCTGATGTTCGTATCCAAGGTCGGAGTGCTCGGGAAATTGTAATCAAGCACGCGCACTCGCTATTGGCCCACCTAGGCACTCACCGCACATTGACGTTGTTGCGCGATCACCTGTGGTGGAAAACAATGTTAGCCGACATTCAAAAATATTGTGAGACATGCATAACCTGCAAAAGGAGCAAGCCCGACAACCAGAAGCCGTATGGGCTCCTCAATCCCCTTTCGGTGCCTTTCCGGCCCTAGGAAGCGATCGCTGTCGACTTTGTGGGGCCTTTGCCTGCATCGAACAACAGGGATAGCTCGTACGACGAGATCACAGTAATTATTGACTTACTTTCGGGTATGGTCCACTTAGTACCCAGTCGGCAGGACTACAAAGCGCCAGATGTGGCAGAACTCTTGTTCTCAGAGGTGTATAAACACCATGGTATGCCTAAGTCAATTATAAGCGACCGGGATGTTCTGTTTACCAGCTTGTTATGGACTCATCTTAACAAACTGATGGGCGTTGAGCTGCGCATGTCAAGTGCCTACCACCCTGAGTCTGATGGATCTGCCGAACGCGCGAACCGCACGGTCGGACAGATGCTGAGGCAATGTATTGGACCAAACCAAAAGGATTGGGTTAGTAAGTTGCCAGGAATCGAATTTGCTATCAACTTAGCTCGAAGCGAGAGCACGGGCTTCGCTCCGTTCTTCCTGAACAGTGGCCGCATGCCTCGAGCCATGGTCTGGGACTCCGCCGGGCCCGACGAGTACCCAGGGGTTCGTGCCTTTGCACAAAGAGTCAAAAACGCTGTAATGGCCGCGCACGACTCAATTATAGCTGCGCGGGTGAAGCAGACGAGGAATGCAAACCGAAAACGTCGTCCGGCTCCCTTTGCCGTGGACGATCTTGTCTACATTTCCACCGCAAATATTTCATTGCCCAAGGGTTACGCCAGGAAGCTGGCACCTAAATACATAGGGCCATACCGCATCTTGAGAGACTACGGTAATAATTCATACAAAATTGACTTACCTAGTAACCTGCGCCGCCGCGGAATCCACGACGTGTTCCACGTGTCCCGCCTGCGGGTCCATGTGCCGAATGACGACCGATTGTTCCCCGGCCGGCTTGACAGCCAGGTAGCCGAGCTCGAGGACAAGGACAATGAATGGGCTATCGAGAAAATTATTAGCCACAGAGGTAGAGGTGGAGAAACGGTTTTCGGGGCCGTATGGAAATCAGGAGATCATAACTGGGTGCCCTACTCAACAATCGAACACTTGGGCGTGTTACGGGCTT